ATATAACAGCGACTCAGTGTATCCCAACTAATATTACCAAAAATCTATCACATAAATTTGCACATAACAAAGAATTATAAGCTTCAATGTACCTAACTGGAGTGTTATAAAATTCTTTCCTCTAATTATCTTTTAATTCTTTAGTTTCCAATCAGCTATTTTAATCTAGCAACTGTAAAATATTGTAATATTTTTAGCATATGAAAATACTTTGATAATATTATTCATGCATGGTGTTCAGGTATTTGACATTGACTTCTGACATTTTTCAAAGACAGTAGGATGGTTTTGAAGAAGACCAGGCTTCCAGGATCTGCAGCTGATAGTTAGCCTACTGGAATGAGTGGTCTGAGATTTGAAACTCAATTTTGGCTCACTGCTATGGACTTAGAAGTCTTGGCTGAATCTGGAACCTCAGAACATGTGACTTGCAGGCTTTGAGGTTTATCATATGACAGGTTTATCCCAGGGAACCAAATTGCCCTAAAAGTCCCTTGGTTTATTTATCTCCAGGTTCTAGACTCCCATCTTCTCATTATATGAAGTAAACAACCATTACTCTTATTTAAATACCAAGATTAAATAATTCTCTAAATTATATTCTCTAGTTCCAACAGGAATTAATTCAACAAAGTTAAAAAGACTATATTGTACATAGTCTTTTGGCCTTACAATCTATTAATATTTTAGGAATATGAATTCTTATACATTCTGTATTATTAATCTTAGATAGTGCCAGCAGCCAATCCAGAACCCTACTATCTCCCACAGCCTTGTGTCTGCCTGCATTATCAAACTAGAGAAGGTGCCCTGCCACTTGCTTTCTCTCTCCTAGTCTAGGAATCTCTTTGCTTTAGCTGCACATCAGTACATAGGCGCGTGGTGAGCGCCCTGCATTATTCACTCGTGGTTCCGTAAGAAAGCAGTTTTAAGTGTCGTGTTCTGTGCTGAACGCAGCACTTTTAGCTGGGCAGTATTATCATGGGGCCAACATACCTGCTGGAAGATGTAGCGTAGAAAACTTATTTTGGGAATTCCCTACAAAATTAAGTATAAAATAGGTGCAAAGAGATCTGGATTCAGTCAAAGTGGCAGTGCCACCTGAAATGTTAAGAAGCTAAACTAAACCATTTGAGGATTCCTCTCTACTTTGCTGTCTAAGCAATCATTAGTGACTTTATGGCTGCTGGCTGTAACCCTAAACGTCACCAACATCTCAGGTAGACTAGTGTACTTACAGCTCAGTTTTCAAGGAAGTTTATGGACAGATGACTGAGTCTATGCTAATAAAACAGCCCTGTAAAATTCTAGTAAAACATCCTAGTAAAATACCTTAACTTGGAGTTTGCCTTCGTGTATTCGCCCTTTCCATGATGCTGTAAATTTAAGGCTGTCCACTGAACAGCTCATTACTCTGCAAGCAAAACATATATACAGTAAATCTTAGAGACATACAACAACAGGAAATTAAATACAAAATCAAAACCAATGCATTTTCAATGTCTACCATATCATACTAAGTCTTACTTTGAAGAAAAATACACTTTTAATCTAAAAAAAAATTTAAAAATCAGCATTTAAACAAATAACTCACAGCTATTCTATTTCAGTGCAAGTAACAAAAATAAGACTACAAATGACAGGAGTTGACATAATTTGTTCCATCTGTGTCCCGTATCTTCACGCATAGGGAACAATGGCACATTAGCATACGTAAACAGGTGGATTATTTTCCCCTCACCTTGCAGTCTCCTGGCGTAAGGCATTGAGAAATGTGTCTGGATGAAATAGCTCTGAAAGGTCAAGGGTGTCAGACAGTAGTTGCTGTTTCTCTGCTTTTCCTACCCAATTCTAAAAAAGGAAAAAAAAGGAAAACAAAGAATTCTGAAATCATTGCCTGATTTTTCAACATTTTGAGTTAACGTCTGTTTCTCAATTATTATGATTAATGAAAAATGTTAGTGCAATAACCTCAAAGATTAATATTAATTTCATTTTTTTCAAAGTAGTAAACAGAAAATTAACACCATTTAAAAGTGTAAAGAAAACCAGTAGTTCATATGCAATGACTCATCCATTCTAAACAAACTTCTGTTTTGTTGTTTGAACAGTGCAGCTCACTTTGTACAATGAAACGTTTACCGAGTTTGTTACATTCTGTTGAAACTCTATCTCACCTTTACTAACAGAAGAGTTTATGTTTTCCGTCAAAATGGTTGTCATTATTGTCTTTGCTTTACTAAGTTCAGGCAAAAACTGTGTTCAAGTATGCTTCAAGATCATTCTTTTGGGTAAACTGCATATTAAATTCAAGAAACACTTGACTTTCGATCTGCCGTAAGAGTTTTCCTAAGTACTTACCAACAATTTCTTTGAAAATACCTCTTAGTATGAGGTTGATGCTGTCATTTTTAGTGTGCAGAGTTTCAAGAGATGTTTCAGATGTATTAGTTTGACACATGAAATCACAGAATTTCTGTTAAGATAAAAATTGGCTTCTGTCATATTTTGTAGAGGGGGAAGGAACAACTGGCCTCAATTATCATCATAGGACAATTCTCCTGGTAGCTGTACTACGGCACATAAAAAATAACCAAGTGGTTGGTGACAGCCAACTTGGCTTCACTAGGGGCAAGTCGTGCCTGACTAATTTAGTGGCCTTCTACGACAAAGCTACAGCACTGGTTGATATGGGTAAAGCAACGGATGTCATTTTCCTGGACTTGTGCAAGGCATTTGACACTGTCCCACATGAAATCCTTGTCTCTAAAATGGAGAGACATGGATTTGACAGATGGACCACTCGGTGGATAAAGAACTGGCTGGATGGTCGCACTCAAAGAGTTGTGGTCAATGGTTCAATCTCTACATGGAGACCAGTGTCAAGTGGTGTTCCTCAGGGGTCTGTTCTGGGTCCAGGGCTGCTCAACATCTTTGTCAGTGACATGGATGACGGCATTGAGTGTACCCTCAGTAAGTCTGCCGATGACACCAAGTTGTGTGGTGCCGTGGATTCACTTGAGGGAAGAGATGCCATCCAGAGGGACCCTGATAGGCTTGAGAAATGGGCCAGTGCTAACTGCATGAGCTTCAACAAGTCAAAATGCAAGGTCCTTCACCTGGGTCGGGCCAATCCTAGGCACAAATACAAACTGGGCACAGAGTGGGTTGAGAGTAGCCCTGAAGAGAAGGATTTGGGGGTGTTTATAGATGACAAGCTCAACATGAGCCGGCAGTGCGCTCATGCAGCCCAGAAGGCCAACCGCATCCTGGGATGTATCAAGAGAAGTGTGGTCAGCAGGTCAAGAGAGGTGATTCTCCCCCTTTACTCTGCTCTTGTGAGACCCCACCTCGAATACTACGTCCAGTTCTGGTGTCCCCACCATAAGAGAGACATAGATCTGTTGGAGCGTGTTCAGAGGAGGGCCACAAAGATGATCCAAGGGCTGGAGCACCTCTGCTACGAGGACAGGTTGCGGGAGCTGGGAATGTTCAGCCCTGAAAAGAGAAGACTTTGGGGGGACCTAATAGCTGCCTTCCAATACCTGAAGGGAACCTACAGGAAGGCTGGGGAGGGACTTTTTACAAGAGTGTCCACCAGTAGGACAAGGGGAAATGGGTTTAAGTTGAAGGAGAACAGATTTAAATTAGGTTAGAAATTCTTCAGTACGAGGGTGGTAAGACTTTGGAATAAATTGCCCAGAGAAGTTGTGGATGCCCCCTCCCTGGAGGGGTTCAAGGCCAGGTTGGACGGAGCCTTGAGTAGCCTGATCTAATTGAGAGGCGTCCCTGCCCATGACAGGGAGGTTGGATTAGATGATCTCTAAGGTCCCTTCCAGCCTATGTCATTCTATGATTCTATGACACCTACTCCAACCTACTTCTTTCACCCTGTCTTACATGCAGCTATGAAGCCTGTTACTAGGAGCAGCAAGCTTGGAATTTCCCACCAATGCAATGCATTCTGTGCCAACATGAGAAGAGAGACACACATTGCACCTTGTGATCTTGATAAACCATGTGTCTTAAGTAATGAAATCTGAGTTTGATCCTCAAAACACAATCTCAGACGAAAGAATTTGTTATCTTCAGACAAGTTAGTTAGGTACCTGAGTGGTTTTGCAACAGTACACACTGAAAATCCTACATTTCATACTATACATCTTTGGTACAATTTCTTTACATGGTATAGTCACAGTCCTGACTGTGGTACTGTAGTATGAACGTTAACCTACTGTATAACCTACTCATAAGTAGGTGCAAGTCATATGCTTCTGCATAGAAAGATTTATGCTTAATACTAAGCCAGAAAATAATTAGAAACGAAGATTCCACATGCTATAACTAAATAGAAAGATAAACCACGCTCCTTTCTGAATATCAACTACTAGGAGATTACAAAATTACTCTAGACACTGAATAAAAAATCTTGGAAGCAACATTCTCATTATACAATGCACCTGCCAGGCATTCATATCTTGTTTAAAAACTGCTTTACTGTATTCTTTGAACTGCTGACAGACAAATAATTCCATAGAAGCATCTTAGAAGCGACAAAATAATCCAAAATACAAGTAAATATCCCTCAGGGAATTTTATTTTACTTTGTCAGTGCATCAGACACATCTCCATAATGTTTCCATCATGTTCAAACATTTTATTGGTGATCTTTTTACCTGTCACATCACCGATTACGAGCCCTCAATCCAAATGATTATGAATCTTTTAGGAGATTTTGCTTTCCGTTTTCATTAGCTAAATGTAAACAGTTAATGACTCCTGTCTGCCTGATTCTTTTAATGACTTTATATAACAACCTCTTTTATCATATAGCAGTAACTCTGCATTCTGGTTAGGACAGGTTTTGTACGTTGTTTTGTATAACAAAAGCAGGTGCAATCATTTCAATTTGTATTTAATATAATCATTCTATTGCTGCCATCAAATAGCCTTTTAATCTAAATGCTAAAGAGAAACACTGTCAGGAACATAGATGTGTATATTTCACACAATTAAAAGACCAGTATGAGTGATATTATTTCTGAACTCACACAATTAAGTAGCACTGGGAAACACATAATAACAACAAAAACTTTCATTAGATCACAAAAGCAAAGTTTGTAATTGCTTGTGCTGTTATACATAAAGCTGAAGACATCGCTCATGCACAGACGTTCAACAAATAATTTAAGATTTAAAAGCAATAAAAATTATAAGAAAACGTATTTTACAACACAAGTGTGAAAAATATCCTTATGCTTATTCTTCTTTTCGTCTTATATGACCACATGGAAGCATGTGAAGTGCTACAGTCTCAAAACACAGCAACGTTCTTAAATGGATTATTTGTCACTAGTGTCTCCACTGCCACTGCCACAGTGCATGGAAGGAAGGGATCAGGTCTTGATGGAAGAACGCTTAAACAAAGCTGCAGAAAGAACTGATGTTTCTTGAGAAGGAGAAATCCTGTAACAGATCAGCTATAATATCTTAATTTCCCTCTTCTATCCTGACTCCAATAAAAACATACATTGACTTCATTTGTCAAAGTGATGCAAAGTTGTTTGACTTCTTATTGACCTTGGATGTCCACACAGCATTTCGGTCTGAAGGTCATTCTTCTATCACCAACTTGGTAGGAAACTCTGCTTCTCCTGCCAGGTAGGCCAAAATAACCCATGCATTTGTTACTTGCCAGCTGGATTGCAGTAAGCAGACTACCATCAGCTCCAAGATGGTGTAAAATTTAGCTACTTGTCTCGTTGTGGCTCAGGCCAATGCTCTTGCTCTCCCAACTGCCCCCTCACTTCCACCTCCCGTAATATCGTCTTTAACAGGTTTGCTGCAGTTCGGGATTTGTTTTCTTTGAAAACGGCTAACAGTCAAGATGTAAACTCGCTAAAAGCAGCTTTCAGTCTATGAATTAAGATACATCTTTGGTTAGATATGACAGCTGTAATATCTGGAAAAAGGCATATGAAAGCTGAAATGGTGTATAACTTATTTTTAAAAATAAATTAAAATTATATCAATAATTTCTATTATACCAATAACGTGGTCTACAAGTCCAAATATCATCACCCTGAAAAGATTTATATTGCAAAATAAAATTAAAAATCTATCATACACTCTTCTTTGTAACTGTTTATTTCAATATTTCATTATTTCAATCTTTGCTGAATCTTTATTACAATGAAACTAGAATTTTAAGTTTGAACTGCCCATGATAGATTAATTTAGCATACGATGATTATAAATACTAAAACTTATCAGCAACACTGAAAATACTTGCAAAGCAATTCCTAGCAGGATAGTTCAAAACGTCAATGGGAGGTTCTGTTTGGTACAATAAAAGATTATTTTTTTTTTATTTCACAAAATCTTAAGTGTGGTCTCAGGTGGTTCAAATAATATTTTTTCATGTATCTTAACATCCAAGAAGCATCTACTCCATTTTCAGGGAGAAGCCTTCCTTATCTTCTGTAATCTCAAAGCAAACTGAGCACCTCATGTTAAACAGTGGAAGGAATAAAGAGGCAGCCAGATTTTCACATTATCATTTATACAACTTCAGGCTCACAGAACTCTTCTACAATCAATCAAGTACCTTTCCTTCACTTGTTTTAATTCATTCCAAATGTATTCTCTTTTACAGTGTTTTCCATTGGTGTGGTCCCAGAAGAGAACTTTTCTTGAAAGAGAAAATCATATAAATCACTACAGAAGCAATTTAATTTCTGTGTCTAGACGGAGAGTTGTATTCAATGTTACATGTATATGCATAGCCAGAAACCAGAGAGCATAATTCTGCTTTTTCGCTAGTTTTGGAGGGATTCAAACTTACTAGGGAA